CGGTTTAAAGCAAAATGTGCTCTCAGTCCAAAAGCCTCCCCTACTTATCAGCTAAACCAAGACGCTGTGCAGCATAATGTTAACCATAAAAACATTAATGACAATTTCACTCTCAATACACTCAAAATATGTCCCACTGATGTTGCTCTTTTACCACCTGGACAACTCTTTCAATCAAGCAAACAAGAAAGATTCCCCCTTTTATGACATATACTAATATTATAAATTTCTCCCTTGCAAAAGGAATAATTTTACAAAAGTACTAAGCACCACAGATATGTCATTTCCAAAATTAGAAGAGGTCAGGGATAAGGACAGAGAAATGAAACAGACAACCTTCATTTCCCAGAAAACAGCAAAAGATGATCTTTTTAGTACTAGGTCATTTACCTATTTACCTTATTTAGTATTAAAGTAGATTCATACACAACCATTAATTATATGAGATTATAAATGACAGGGTATTTGATCTCATACTTCAGTATTTGTATGTGTGCATCGACCCTTTTTGCATGACTGCGTATTTCTGAGCAAATAATAACAGAATTGCCACAAATTTGAAATGGGCATAACAGTTCCTTTTTTCAGAGTATATTATGTCTTTTAAATAAGTTGACACAATTAATTCTATGAACAAAACAAAAAAATAAGATAATACTAGTAACACAAAAGTTCCCTAAAAACTGACCACAATGGAGGAAACTACCAGAGTTTTGTCTGAAGGGTGAAGTTACCGAAGAAGACAGTCTTAAGAAGATGCTTGCTTCTGTTCCCTAAAAAGAGGGCCATTAAAAGGAGCAGTTAGAACCAGGAAATGAGCAGGAGCTCAGTCAGTGCAGCTGAGCATTCCTCCCAGGTCACACCACAGCCTAAGCTGGACGCAGCCCAGGTCAATGGCACCCAAACCCCTTCTCTGCCACTCCCTGCAAGGTGCTGCCAGGGGAGGGTGTGTGCCCCTGGGTCCTGTGGTCCTGCGGAAGCCATGTTTAAGGCCTGCCTGTCTTCCCACCAACAGGAGCGAAAAGGACAGTGCCAGGTACTTCTCACCCATTCAGCAGGTATTTAAAGATCATTAAAAAGAAAAAAGGAAAAAGTGTTTCAAAAGAGACCCTGAAAGGAGTTCTGAAAAGGATAAAGGGTCGGGTGAGTAATCTGGATGATCCTACCCAGGCCAGTGGAAAGCACTGGCCAAATCCCAGGTGAGTCCTTCTAAGAATCCTAGGTAAGTCCAAGGTCAGTGAGCCAGCTTCTCCAAAAGCAACAAGAAAGCACTAGGGACAATGTCGGAACCAAAGGGCTGAGGCCACATTATCTTGTTCAGCGCAGGGGTGACTTCTGAAACTCACCATATCCTTGCCAGGTGATGCCACACTGAGAAGCAAGAAAGCAGGGGGCGCGGATCGCAGGCTAGGTTTTCGGGTTTTAGCTGTGAAACTTGGTAAACAACGCCACTGATGCCTTTAAGGAACACTGATTCTCCACAGCACTAAATACTCCATTTGAAATGCATTCATTCAAGTAAACTAAGTAGATTTCATGTCGTGGTATTCGGTGGGTTTAAAAAAAAACAGTCAAGATAAATGTATACCTCCCGTGGTTGAGAACACCTCAGACGTTGCTTCAAGTAGATGGCAGGTTACTTTTGATTACAAGTATATCTATTCCAAGGAACACAGTCCACTAAGAACGGATTCGGGGAACGTTTTGTGTCTCACATTATAACTATGATTACTACGTTCTTGGTCTCCATACACAGTAAAGCAGCGCATAGCCTTTTCCAGGGTAGACGTTCAAGGAACATTTGTTGAACTGAATTCAACATTATAGATTTCAGGAAGCCTGAGTTCTGCCTCATAGTCCCACCTGGGCCTGAATTCCAAAAAGTGGGGATGGGAGCCCTAAATACCACATCCCGACTAAATGTTGAGTTGGCCTACAGATCACTGCACACATTCCAAGTTTGGGGCAAGGACCTGCCACTGAGAAATGTCAACAGTTCTGACACAGAACGAGCCACAGTGGTGTCCCTGAAGTTGCCACTACCTGAGGTGAATTGAACACGAAGGCCCGTCTCGGGGCCGGGGGCGGTTCCACACTCCCGCCCGCACGGCCGCG